TAAGATAAGGCCGCCACATGACGACCTGATAGAACAACAAAGCAAAAGCATTAGCATGCCAAGAGCTATAGACAACTGGAATAGGCTATTTGTAGGCTATAGCTAGGCAATTTTGTCCAGCTATAGCTTAGCTATTTTGTTAGACACATTTTCTCAAAAGCGTGAGCCATGCTCTAGTGGAAATGGAAATGAAAAGATCATTATGATTCATGCTACAATAGCAGTTATAGTTGCTAGAGATGAATAGCCTACCTTTAAGTGCGTTACAAAGTTGGATGTGACGCTTCGTTTTGCTTGGATCCTTGTGCCACAATATTTGCAGTTCGACTCAATCTTTCCATTCTCTCCTTCAAATACAATGTTAAAGTAATCCAAAATAGAGACCTTTGTAGCCGACGCCATTGGAGACAACTGTTCCTCTGTCCAAGAAGTAAAATCAACTTGTAATCAAGGACAATGCAAGGCTTACGAAGCAGTCTAACCTCGACTCTGGTCATGAGCGCAGGCTGGAGTGTTTACTTCGTTCAGCATCACAAAAAGGCGCAGACATGCGGGACAAATAACAGTCGCAATGTCCCCACTCCCCACGTCTGCTGCAGCCGAAAGAAACAGGAACATCCTTTTTGTGCATCCGCTGCTTCCGCGCTCCCATCCGTGCGTGCAGACAGCGATGGATCACTGGGAAGAGAGCATCCCAGTGCGAGAGGAGGGCTGTCTCTAGTGCGTTTTATTTAGTCAATTATGTGCAATGCTGCACGAGTATGGCCTCCACCCTGTCCTCGGCATGGTCCTCAGCCAACAAGTTTAAAGCCCTCATTATTCATTATAGTATTAAATATGTAGCTGTTAATAGAAGTCGGAGTTATTATGTCTCTTTTGTCCCTATAGAAATGAATCCCCACTGGACAAGCTATGGACTTAAATCACAGTGATGTGAAGTCACCATGCAACTAGTTTGCTATGGTTAACCTCCAGGTGAAGCAAAACAGAGCAGTTAAATCTTTTTTTTTTTTTTAAACAAATGCATACAAAATCATACAGACTTTATTACAGTAATAGTATTGTACTGTTTTTATTTAATCTCCACTCCCAAACAGTCTTTATTGTATTATGAATTGGTCTCTTGGATTTGGAGTTTTTCCATTTCGCTCCACAGTTCATGTCTGCTGTTTACGATGGCAGTTTGCAGACTGGCAATATCTGCTGACAACTCAATCACTGAGAAAAAAAAGAGAAAAACTCGAATGAAAATTGAATGAAAATGAAATACAAACAAAAAACGTTGTGTTAGTATTTAGTTTGTTTGATGCCACCAACAAAATTCTACCTTGGTTAAATGAAGACTGTGCTTGTTTAAGAGACTGTGGCACCAAAATACCAAACCACTTTATTGGGTCTTGCTGGAGATTCTGGTCATATTTTATATTTTTTTGACTTTCACATGGTTGCTCAGAAATATTTTTTTCACTCTCTTCATACTTATCAGTATCCTGTATTTTTTTATTTCTTCTTCGAACACCTGTGGACAAAAAAAAAAGATAACAATCAAATGTTTACAGGATACCACTGATGCTATAATATGTGCATTCATTTCAGAAATTGCTATATATTAAAACCCACCTGTTTCTTGTGGCCCAACATCTTCCACAGGCTTCAGATCATCATTAGACCTTTGGCTTACCTTGTTGGTGGAAAACTTTACCTCACCATTGTCTAAAGGTCTGTTAAACAAATTAGATTTTAAAAACACACACACACAAAAAAACATACATTATAGTGACTCTTCTCTAACCCTGTTCTATATCAGCTCTATCAGGTTGATTTACTCTAAAATTATTTGTAAAATAAAATGCATTTCAGTACTAACTGGGTATGAATGAAGATACGTGGCTCTATTTCACTGGCATACTGTAGAGATGACACTTGTTTATTTCCCATGGAATATCGTGCCTTGGAAATGGAAAACCATCCCTATAGAAATACAACGTGATCCAACCAAATCCAAATCCAACCGTTCATTTTTACATGAGATAATTTCCTAATCTTACCAATTAAAATTACCTTACCTGCTCAATCAGCGCGTTTAAAGAAGCTCTTTTTTCTTCTAAGAGCTCGAGTTGACTCATAAAATGGAACAGCTTCTCATCTAGTTCACGAGATGATAGTTCTAAGTCTGGCAGGTCCATCTCGGCTTGTAAAAACACCTTCTGCACAGCGAGGACGAGAAATAATTTCAAATACACACGTACGCGTATTTTCCTTCAGCAACTTCCGGGTAATAACACGTGACACTCGGATCATGTGATTCAAAGCTAGTTCAATGCTAACTGCGCCATGTTTCCACCAGTTACTGATCTATTTTCTTTTTTTGAGATTATATAATATTTTAGCCATAAATGCGAATTATATAAAATTTTATTATATTTAATAATTTCACTCTTGACGGTCATGAAAAAAAAAACTCAGTTCCCATACCGGGAGTCGAACCCGGGCCGCCTGGGTGAAAACCAGGAATCCTAACCGCTAGACCATATGGGACCGATACGTTCTTGACGACGGGTGTTTTATTTAAAGTAAGTATTCCAAAGCCAGTAGCGTTATAAGAGTTTTATATTTATGTATTTGCATTTATGAAAAAATTGTTTTGCTAGTAATAAACAAGAATCATAGAAATGTTCCTTTTACATCATTATAGGTTATCTGTCTGTATCATATTCCACCATCCATATTTGGAATGAGACCCAAAACGTTCTAATATGGCTACAATAAAAGAACATAATATGTTCAACAGTTTGTACTTCACTGTTACAAAATGTGCAGTTATTGTTCAGAAAATCATCACAAAATATCATTTAAAATTTTATAGTGAGTTTCTTTGGCTTTAGAAGCGACTGGAAATGAAAGGTAATTTGTTCAATTTTTTTATATTAAGTGGAAAGCGAGCACTGGAAAATCCACTAGAATTACTAAAACTGGTTTAAAAATCATGTATTGTATTGAAACTAATAATTCAGATAGCATATTACATTCATTTGACGAATACGAATAACAGAGATAATATTTTTTCGAAATGACATGCGTTCAGAATTCTTCTATCTTCTACATATACAGTCTATGGGTAGTCTATTATTATTGACGTTTTTAGATATGGTTTATCCTTACCTCGCACTTACAAGATAGTCTTAAAAAATACCCCCAAAAACAGCAATTTAAAACGTCCTCTTGTCGGAGTCTCTTTTAAAAACCCCGAAAAGAGCCGTACAGACATGTCTCCCAGTAGCTTGCCGTGATCGTATAGTGGTTAGTACTCTGCGTTGTGGCCGCAGCAACCCCGGTTCGAATCCGGGTCACGGCAGGGATAATTCCCTGACACGGCTTGGGAGATTATTTTTCGTTTTTTCTTCATTTGTAAACAGAATTGTTCTATATGGTTAGAGTATTGTTTTCTCCTTCTGCTTTTGTTTATTGTTCCATAAGCCAAGTTTAATACAAAGCAAATAGGCCTCTTGGCCAGGTCGACATTGCACATGAGAAGGTATTCTCAATTGACTGACCTGGTAAAATATTGAATAAATTAAAAAAAAATAAAAACAGTAAAATTATATTTGCAAAATCACGTAAACCACTGTCATAAAAAACTGTCTAAAATAAGAACGAATAGCACTGGTTAAATTAAGGACTTAGACGCTTTTTAGAAGAAGGCTAAGGGCGTTGTTTTATTGCTGCTAAAATGTTTCATTGGCAGCTGCTGAAAACGACGCTCGTGTTCCGAGTTGGTGAGCCAATCAGCGCACCGAGTCATCACGTGTGCTCTTAGCTCACGGTGACAGCGCGCTTCTATTGGTGCGTGCTGCTTAAAGGAGTCCGCCTCTGTAGACTTGGTACTTCATTTTCAACAATAACTTGTACCCTTCCTTTCTTCTCTGGATTTAACCAGCAGGTAAGAACCTTCACAATGACTATGATATATTTGATGTAGGCCTGCTTGGTAACTGATGCATTTGAATAAATCTTGATAGCCTTGGAGATGTGACTGTCCAGACCTATTTCCTCACAATTAGTCAATTAAGTACTATGATTTGTAATTATGCCTTTTCAACCAGGAAATGGATGCATCTTCATCTGCAACTCTTCATCCCTACTGGCCACGGGATCTTCTCATTCCAACCTATGTGGAAAATGATCGATCCATGTCAGAGATCCTGGCCTTTTTATTTTCAGTTTCTGGTGTATTCTTACTGGTCACTTGGCTAGTGAGTGGTCAGAAAGGATCTGGTGGACAGCTGGGGACTTGGAGGCGTTTAGCTGTCTGCTGGTTTGCTGTTTGTGGTTTTATCCATGGTGTTATTGAAGGATGGTTTTCATTGTATTATGATATCATTCCTGGGGATCAAAGCTTCCTATCACAGTTGTGTGAGTATTTTGAAGTTATGTCTGCAAGTGACTTTTCATTATTTACATACATTATTTTTGTCTTATTTTTTTCTTAGGGAAAGAGTACTCCAAAGGGGACAGTCGTTATGTCATGTAAGTAACTGTTATTTTTTTCTCAACACAAATTGAACATAATCAGTTTTTGCTATTAATATATTGTTTATTATTTGTTTAATTAGTGCAGATAACTTCACTGTATGTATGGAGACTGTCACTGCTTGGGTTTGGGGACCCTTCAGCTTTTGGGCCGTGTATGCCTTTTTAACCAACAAGCCTTACAGATTTGTATTACAACTTATCATTTCATTAGGTAAGATGAAGTGAACCTGATCCACTCAATAATGCCTTACTCATTCAGTTGTCGAGCAAAACGTAGAACAAATGTTCTGCTATATCTGATTACAGGCCAGCTTTATGGAGCAGTGCTATACTTCTATACTGAACACAGAGATGGGTATGCCCACAGTGAGCTGGGGCACCCCGTGTACTTCTGGTTCTACTTTGTCTTCATGAACACCCTGTGGATTGTCATACCTCTGTCTCTCATTGTGGATTCATGGAAACAGTTGTCTGCTGCTCAAACTGACACTGATAATAACCGATCACTGAAATCAAAGAGAAAATAAAACATTAATCAGAATATCAGAATCAATCTAATCTAATCTTAATCAGAATAAAACAGAAGCAGGGAGTAAATGCAAAGTTTGTAAAACATGATGGACCAATGTGTAATTAACAGTTTTCTATAAATATTTAATTTTATAATTTCTATAAATTGTAAAAATGTACTTTCTTCTAATAAAATGTTAAAAATTTGAATTTGTACAGGTCTATAATTAACTAAGCATGTGTTATGTTATTAGGGGAAGTGGGCTACACTGAGTTTGACACTACATTTGCTTTATTTGAACAAATTACTGCATAGGATTTTAATCCCATATTCTATAGTTAAATACAATAATATGGCATTAATTTTCAATTTATGACAGTTGTTATGGAAACATTTACATTAGTGATGTCTTACTGGGTTTAGGCTGTTTATTAATGGTACATAAGATGTCTACTGTTAATCGAGGTTATCACGGCCTCTTGATTCTTACATCTTACTTTTTATTTCCAGTTTCTTGGTAGTTTGCTGTAATTCTTTTCTCCCATGTGAAATAACACCATGTGCTCCCCATACGAGTCCATTGTTTATATCAATCCTAGTTGGTTATTTTATTGATTGTTGGCCCAGCCTTGGGCTGACCTGTTCTCGGATGAGACGAGGTCTTATCTTATATATCATGTATATTATGTCTGTATCGTCCCTCTGCCTTTTGCCTCCCGTGGGGTAGAAGAACTCTGTATTGTTATGACACAGTTTAGGAACAGACGACGCTGTCAAGGACAGTTTTGTGTTTGTGCGCACGATTGTTTCAATAATCCAGACTCCTTGATTCAAGACAACTTTTCAGTTCTTTTAGTGTCCCTGACGCGAACACAAGCACACTTACCGGTTCTTTAACTTCAAGGTAATCGCGATATTCAAAAAATGTGCGTATTACGTTTGTTTGTTTATATATATATATATATATTATATTATATATATATATATATAACGCTCTCCCAACTGAGCTATTTCGGCCTGTTATGAAAAAAAAAAGACAAAAACTTTTAAGTTATAAACATATATATATATAAAATATAATATTATATATATATATATATAAATATATAATATATATATATATATATATATATATATATATATATATATATATATATATATATATATATATATATATATATATATATATATATATATATATAATAACTTAAAAGTTTTTGTCTTTTTTTTTTCATAACAGGCCGAAATAGCTCAGTTGGGAGAGCGTTAGACTGAAGATCTAAAGGTCCCTGGTTCGATCCCGGGTTTCGGCATTTTGCTCAAGGGTCGTCTATTCAGTGAACCTGAACGCACCACAGTGTGACGCTAACGTAATAAAGGGCGCCATCTTGTGGCTAAAATACACAATACACATAGACGAAGTATCTTATACGTCGGTGTTTATTTGTTTCATTTCTGTTATTGAGCAAATATGGTAATTATTTAGACCAATGTCTGCACCTTTATCCATTTGTGACAGCAAAAAAGAAGAAGAAGAAAAAAAAAAAAGACACCATACATCATTGGGTCTCAGTCAAGAAATTTAAATTGAATTGAAATTATCTCATCATTCATTTAGTTTTCAGCTAAACATCTTACTAAGTCTGTGTGCCAGTGCTTTATTTGTCTCTTTCTCTTTAATAGCCACATCTTTGAGCGCCTTTATTGCAGCTGACGAGTCAGGTTGTATTTCCAATAGTTTCTTAAATGCCCTCTTTGACTCTTCAAGTTCATTGAGCATCTGACAGGCTTGACCCAGCCTGTACCAGGCCTTTGCCCCACCAGGATCTAATTCAGTGGCCTTGGATGCACTAACTTTGGCGCGCTCTGGCTGTTTTAACTTGATTTGACATAAAGACAGATTTGAATGCAGCTCAGCTTTGATAGTATTGTACTCTTTGGCAGAAGGAACAAGACTTTCTGATGGAGATTGTATTCCCTCTGATGCTTGTTCCTGTGTTTTTGCTACTTTGATGAGCCCATAGAGAGTTATGAGTAGTTTTAAGGCTCGGCTGTAGCTGTCTGCAGCGCCCCACATGTCTCCACTCCTGAACCAAACAGTGCCTCTGTTCTTGAGAGATCTCACCCAGTCCATTTTCTCTTCAGAAGATAATTCCCAGGATTCCTTGCCAGGTGTAAATGTTCCAAGCTCCACGGTGACATTAAAAGGCTGGTCTGATTCTGCATTCACCTCTGAATACACCAGTGGAGAAAGCTGTATCTGAAAAAGAAAATTAATTCAAGCCAGTAAAGAGAATATTTTAATATCATCTGTTATATTGGCATTTATAAATGGAACACTGCGTTTTAACTTAAAAGTGCTGTGTGTCACTTTTCTGGTGGTGAGTCAGATGACACAACATGGTTAAAGTTACAGTGGGTAATAAAAACACCCCTATTTGTATAAATGCAAGACAGAATGCAAATAATAACTACAGTAATCATGACATACCTAGATATAAAAGGTATTCATTGTTTAGGATTCTTTCTTGCTGGTATAAAAGTAAAATATAAATTATGTTTTGCATCCAGCATCCAGACGAAGATCACAATGCAAATAAAGCCATATGAATTTTAGGGGTCTCTTACCTCACATTTATCTCCACAGTTCATGCGTTCCAAACAAGCCTCTGTGATGTCGCACTGACCCTCTCCCATTCTCACTGTGGTCCACTGAGAAAGAGGCACCTGCAGCACTGCACTCAGGCACCGAGTGAAGGCAGTGTCTTCTGAATGAGCCTCCAAAGACTGGGTACACCTCTGACCCCCTTCATCAGGCACTACACACTGGTCAGCACCTGTCCCTGTTTGGAGGTGTATTCGCACTTGGCATATTGACCCCATTCGAGGGCATTGATGCATTCCTAAAAATTGCAATAACATAAGCATTTGTCACTAAACTTCAATAATCACTCTAGCTGCTATTTATTCTGTCCATATGTGCTGAGCTGTCATAGCATGGTCATGAGAACTTGCGCAAAATAGATTTGTAGTACTATATTTTTACTCTACTTTCACAGTGTAGAATTTTATTATCTTTATGACTTTTTGTATCTTAACTCTATTCATTTCATACATTTCTAATATTCTAGTCTGATTAGTTATTAGTAATTTAAGTCAGTTTTGAAATAGTATACAATTTTTTTTTATTGATTTTGGATTGCATATTTCTATTCTCTTGCTGTTTTTGAACTGTATGTCGCAACACTAGACTTTTCCCATCATAGGACAAATAAAGCTTCTCTTATTTGTTTTTTTATGTTACCTTAATACAGTGGGACAATGTGTTCTTATACCTGCATCATGATTGGAGATGCTTTTGTGGATTTGTCTTTGCTGAACTCTCCAAAGACCTCTGGGACAAACTGAGACCCATGAGATGGCCTCTTCATTGCCATGTTTTGTAGAGACAAGGGGCATTTCTTGGTTGGGATCCATCACTGTGATAAGAATAGATACACAAAATCCCATATCATATCACATATAGTAAAAGGGGAACTCACAACAAGCTCACTAAACGCTGTAAAAGAGCATTCTAAAACAGCTGATACTCCTGTAAACTTAATGTCACTCATGTAAACGCATATTTAAGTGAAGAGTTCTGCAAGCACAGGTCTACATACAGTCTATGGTTTAGATCAATGTATAGACGTAATAAAACGCCGCTTTACCTTACCTCATACAGAAATTGACCATTGAGTACTGTCGCAGCAAAGCAAAACACGTGTAAAAGAGTAGATCGTTTCTTTTAATTCATAAAAACTGTCAAACACTATGCAAGCTCTCACTGGAGCTCTTGTCTGTCTCTTCTTCTGTGGAGTGAGCCTGTGATCCTAACAGATTCAAAATGCTTCACTGCCCTCTTCTGGACTTGAATGGAAGTGAAGCGAAACCTGTTTCAAACATAATTGTGAAGACTTCCGTGGTTTCTCCTTGTCACAACCCGAGTTCACCTCCCCATTTAGGGCATATGTGTTCTGTTGCCTAATTTATAAGTCATACAAATAACAATTAGTTGAAATAAAATCAAAAAACAAAATAAATAAAAAATATAAAAATACAATACAAGAAAAGAAAAATAGAAAAGAAAAACAGATAAAGGGTGGGGTATGTTGAAAGAAAAAAGAAAAAAGACATATAGCAATTATGTGGATATGATGATATATAACTGTTTATCCTTTTTTTTTCCCATACTGTTTTCTACATATTCTGTTCAATATGTTAGTATGACCACCAGATGGCGGCAAAGATATAGAATAACTTTTGGCTATAATTGTCATAGAAAAATGAAATTGATTTCTAAGATTGTCAATTTAAGTATGTACTATAATGTTAATGCCGTTTTAAGAGATACAGATCACAGCCCTTTTCCTCTGAACTTTGAAGTAGAGCCTACTAATTTCCTTTTAGGATATTTAAAATTTAGTCATCTTTAGTCTTGCGTGAGTATGATAGTGAAGTGTAAATGTGCTAAATGGTCTGAAACGAGGTTAAATCAACTCTTAAATGTGACTAAACCATGAATAAGGTCATTCTAATCTAAATCACAATTGACTCAAAAGGGGACAAAAATATTTGTCTCTAGATTAAACATAGCTGATCATACTAGCATCAATAGTTGGCCTACATGTATCACAGTTTGAGAAACAATGACTTAATATCTGTGCTGCTGGTTTTGGGACATTTGAGGAAAACCCATAATCTAAATATACAATACAAGTTTGGATACTGAATATAGTTACGGTAAGGATTTATTCAGTAAGAACAGTTGATTCCCATGAAATCAGGTCTAACAATAATCACAATACAGGGTGCACAGTCTGGCACAGGTCTACAGAGGTGAAAAAGAGGGAATTGCATCTTCATTTTAGGAATTTTTCTAGATCATCTGAGTTTAAACAATGACACATAATGTAGCCTTGTATGCACCCTTAATCAGTTTAGTCTGGTTGCAGCCTATAATGTACATAGACAACTGATTCCAAAATGAAGAGACCAAAATGACTGTAGTGTCATTGTGACATAAGGAAACAGTTTTTGGCTCTGTCTGGTCCGTGACTCAGGATCATGTGACACAGAATATGTTTGTATATGTTGAACTGTGATGATTCAAATGTGCTGTTTCACTGTAACATCTGTCATTGGCCTGGGTTTCCTCCTGCCCATTCTCTGCTGGTGGCCCTCGCTACCCCACAGCATGTATTGCATGTGTAACAGTTTATCAAACAACATGATGCTTTCTGTGTGTTTTGTGTCAATGACCCAGAGAGAAACAGAATAGATGTGAGTTAAACGGCTGCAGCTGCCTCTCTCTGGAGCTTTAATAGAGGGACATTATAGACGCTGGGTAATGACCGCTCTGCTGGGAGGAATGCCTTGATCTTATCACAGAAAGAGAGAGAGATGCTCCCTAACAGCCCCCTGCCCTAATACAAACAGGCCTCCTGGGACACTGAGGTCACTCCAGACAAGTGGACATGCCCACCAGGGACAAGACTCTGCTTATCTAAATTATTTGTGATTCTGTCATGTCTAATACTCAGTGATATAGTTGGTTTCTTTTAATTGAAACGTCTATGGCCAAACCTCCGTCAGTAAAAATATGTGGTTTAGGGCACAGTTTGGACTTTAGACTTTGTCCATATAATCAATGTTTAAAACATTACTATTTTATCAAAATTGAATTTAAACTTGAAATCAATCATTCTGACAGGAAAAAGATATTTTTTTTTTTTTGTCACACATAGTCCAGCCCAATAAAATAGTAAAAATAATAAGACATAATAGTATATGGAATGATTTGGAAAACAAATGATGAGCAAATTTGAAATTTCTGTTCGCAATTTTTCAGATTTAACAGCTAAACTGTTAGAAGGATCGCATACTTGCATGCAACATGTTTGATGAGGTTTAAACAATCAACTCATTGTTTATTGCACAATGTGATATTAATATATTCATGTTGAATATTTAGCAAAAAATCAAATTCTGTTCTATTGGAATTAATTTCACAACCCTATAATATAAATAACTAAAGCTTTACAATTTTAAGAAAGAGGCTAAAGTTGAAAGCAGATAAGAGCTTGTTGAAATCAGTGTATTGAGGAATGGAGGATAGGTTGGAAGTTGGCACCTTGTTCATTCTCTCACTCTCTCTCCCATCTGAATCTCACACAACACGCTGCAGTGTATACAAGACAAATCCTGTAAGGCCACAACAGACTGCTCTAATCTGTTTGTTTGAAATCTGTGATGAATCGGCATTTTTCAGCACGCTGCTCTTATCCACTCCTATTTGTCCACGTTAGGGCCTGAGTTATTTTTCTATGCAACTGGTTAGAGGCCTGTGTAGCCTATGTGTTGTTCTTTATCTCTGTGAATGAGTGAGTAGAATTTGGCTGTAGGGCTATCTGTGCCTCTCAGCCACCCCATCTGTCTCTGTCACGGTGCTCCCAGTCTGCAGACACTTACACCACAGAAGAACACACTTCTGTATTGTACAAGTCTCTTTAAAGGCACACTATGTGACATTTCTGGTACATCACTTATGATGTATAAATACATTTACTTATCTCCAAGGAGACAGGCATATGGTGTCATCAGAGGAAGTGATAGGTCAGATCTGTAGAGAGGAGACCTCATTCACAGTAAGAATAATATTTTTGAGAACTAAAACACCTATAATTGAATCAATGCAAGTTAATTATTTTTAATGCCATATCTGTGGAACATTCCAGGCAATGCAATAACATCTCCATAAAGAAAAGCAGAATAATGTGGTACAGTGATAGGGCACTTTTGCACTTTTAGAAAGCACTTTTAGCTAAAAGTTCTCTGTTCCATACCTGCTGTTTAACAAGAAAATATTACATCTCTTTGATACTCTAGGCAGAGCTAAGGACAGAATATAAAAGCTGTCTAATATTTTGATAGGCACAGAGCGATGGCTGTTCTGAAGAGGCCCTTAAGTCCCACAAGTGGACTTTATCTGGTGGCTCTGGTCTGGACTGTGACACTTAGACCTCCTCACATCATCCTCATGAAAAGAGTGTTAGAGTGATGCCCTGCTCCTGAGAGCAACGCACTGGAAACTAAGAGGCCATATCTGCCCACAAAGAACGACACTGGCACTTTTGCAATATCAAAATACTGAAAATGAGGGGACAGTGGCACAGTGGTTAGAGCAGCGGTCCTCCATTTCAAAGGGCTAAGTTCTGACATTGTGTCCTTAGGCAAGACACTACACCTGAATTACCTAAAATTAATGTGATGTGTGTATGTGTGAGAGTTATTGGTGGTTGGCAGCCTTGCTTCTGTCAGTCTGTCCCAAGGCAGTTGTGGGACAATAGCTACAATAGTAGCTACAATAAAAAAGCTACACATCAAGTCTGGGGTGAAAGAATAATGACTACAGTGTAGAGCTTTGAGAGCCTTTGACAAGCCTGTAAAGCACATAGTAAAACTTACAACTACAATACATCCAAAAGCACATATGCACTGTTTTGTTGGAGCGTACTGTGAGCCATTTCTCTGTCATTGCAACAGTTACTATACCTTTGATCCCTAATCTTGTTAAATGTGATCGCAAAAGGAAGTCACACATTTTAAACCTTGCAATGACCCAAGTCCAAAACTGGGTCAAGTCTGCATGCAGTTTAACATTAAAAACTATGTGCATGATGTTACTTGCTGAGGAACAGCAGACGAAAACAAGTATTTTTATAACTATGTTGCAGAATTTCATTACTGTAATATGCATCAATCAAATAAGGTAAATGAGCTAAATACAATCATACTATGAGACGAAAAGCTTGATACATGTCATGACATTTTGATTTTGTTATGTCTTTACTTTAAGTTTAAATCAAATATTTGATAATATATACAGAAATATCAGCAAAACCAAACAAAACAATCTCATACAGTGATGCAAAAATGCGAAATAATTTCTTGGAGCATGTGTTGTGCTTGACAATGGTAGTCTACTGTTCCTCGAGGAAGCTAGCCTTGCTTCTCAGTGTAGTACTGTGCTGCTCAGCTCTGGTGTGAGTAAACAGTTGTAGTGAGATAAACACATTAGACTAGTGTTTACTGTGGCCTAAACTATCAAAGTTCAGAGCAACTCTCGGCCAAAAACTTACACGTGACCCCTGTATATTTCTTGTTGTTTCTTCATAGTTTTTGTGACGAGTCATGATTGTACACATGTGCAGTGGATGTGCCAATATATGCCACTGTGTTTCGTTCATGAGCTCTCTCTTAATCCTGTGTGATGGATACTGTACATCAGACCAGCACTCTATCTACACGAGAGGAGATGAACTTATTCTGGACTGAACGCATCAAAACAATGTCAGCACTTGGCCATGTGTTCCACTGAGCACATGTTCAACTTCAAAATGAAAGCACTGATCTCCAAAAAGCCATTGTCCATATCCTGTAATGGTAAAGTTATATGACATTGTCCTTATAAGAGTTAATTGTGTTGTGTTGTATTTAGCCTGATTGATGCTCTTAGAGAAACAAAGGGCCTAAACATAAACAAGCCTGTGTGGATCAGAGCGGGCAATCCCAGATGTTTTGGTTACACACACGCACACACACACACACACACACACACACACACACACACACACACACACACACACACACACACACACACACACACACACACACACACACACACACACACACACACACACACTCATTCACATGCACACACACTTCATTGTCAAAACGATATGATATTGTTCTTGTGGCAGTTTTGTGTAAATGTATTCTGAGCTGTATTGTTCCGTTGGATGCCAAGCTCTTGTTCTGTTTGTCTCTGTTTATGGAGTGACTGGGGCTACTGTACTGTGTCTTTGGGAAGGTAACAAGAAGGCAGCAAGAATGAACAGAAGAAGAATTCAAATGAGTCAAAATCTCAAGCAAAGCAGTCCCTAAAGGTACAGGAATCATGTCAAAGCTGTATTCTGCTTGGATGATCCACAATATATAGTTTCACACACGGGTACATGAAATCAGGTTAAGCAATCAAGATTTTTCTGCGCATAAAACCCATGCATACACTATCACTACACTTATTTGATTAATTTCACATGTGTCGTCAACAGTTGTGATGATAATTAGCCAATACTTCCTTCTTTTCTTTTGGCTTGAAGACACAGCCACTAGGACCAAGGCCACAAGACATCTTCCACACATTTACATTATTCCATGATGAACAGCTACATTTAAATTCAGCTGTTCAAGGCCATCCCATAAAACCTGCAAAATGCAAACTTGAAAAATATGATGGTGCTTAGCCTTAAATGTCCCACAGTATGGTATTAACATTCAGTATTTTATTGATTAAATTGCAGGTGTTATTACGTCTAAAAATGGCACTGGATTCTTACTGAACCGAGTCACCTCTCAACAGATATAACCTATAACTTGGCCTGGTTGTGTCACCTGTTGGTCCCCATGTAGATAAATAAATGTAATGCCATACTGTGGAACATATCCTAAAATGGTGAACAGGAGCAATGTGAATATCCGCAGATGAAACTCAAAACACAAACATCCTCCTGCATTCCTCGAGAGTTTATTTGAGAGGCAGTTTACTTTCCCTGTCCCTGAAGTGGGTATCGTAGTTGTTTGTATGCGTGAAGTGTCTGAGACAGTGAGAGGGGAGATTAGAGCTAATCCTAAACACAGACTACAGACTGCAGCAAATAGATTAAAGGTATGAAGACTCTTCTCTTTTTTGGACCTTAACAGTGATATAATTGTTCTTGACATCATAGTTTTTTTCATACAATAATCTAGCATGCTGGGGTTGATATATGCGGATGACTGTTTTCTCAATCTATGCAAATACGGGCATCTGGTATTGCTCCATAGTGGTTTGATTTCCTACTGTGAATTTTTACTGGATCAATTACAGGCAGAGAGGATTTTATGATGCAACATATCATCAGTTTTTTTTTTTTTTACATATTGTATTTAGTTACAGAATACTGAATACTGATTTAAATGTGCTTTCTAATGTATGCTGATACATGGGCCATCTGAGTACTGTATTCAGGGTTCCCACTCTTTTTCACTGACATTTCAAAACTTTTCCATGGCTTTTTCATGACCTAAAGTGAAATTTTCATGACTTTACAGCACCTACATGTGTAGAATTGATCATACTTTTAGTGCTAAATATGAAATGTTAACCCTTGCCACTCACCTTATGGTTTGGTATTATAGTTTTTAACATTCAAAATACTGTCGGTGCATTTATTGTCATCTCTTTTAAACAAAAGGCGCATATGTTCAGAAATAATCATACTAGCCTAATGAGAACTTAACAGAACACTGTAGTTGTGTGAAAGAGATATTAAAATTCCATGACTTTTCCAAAACTTTCATTAAATTTACTAAAATTCCATGACTTTTTGAGGCCTGGAAAATGACAATTTTTAATTTCTATGACTTTTCCAGGATTTTCATGACTGTGGGAACACTGTGTATTCCAAATGCTTTTACATCAAGGTGCATCAAAAAATAGTACACAATGTTAAAAATTTCTTTATTTATTTTAACATGTTTGTCATGCATTAACTTCTGTTTAATTAGAATAGGAAAAAATGCATGCACACCCGAGAGGGGTGTTTCTCATTAATAACTTGCATTACAAAGCCAAAATTACATGATAAAGTACCACCATGTATTCCTTTTAATTTAAGAAAGCAACTGTATTTTGAATGCCACCAAATGAGAAAGTAACAGTATCTGAATACAGGTATTCAAAATTACTATTTAGTCGTTTCCCAACACTTGACTCATTGTTTACTCTTTTTTCCATAGGCTTTAAAACAGCAAAGTGAAACTGGTTTGGATCAGCCAGCACAGCCAATCAGAGAGCTGCTTTCAGTGCGTACTTCTGGGCTAATGAGAAATAAAAATACTTTATTACTAGCTAGCACAGGAGTCTCCTTTAGTCACAAAGTGTGATATAAACTTTACTCTTGGGGGAAAACACAAAAAAGTCAGGTTGGTGTCAGCTGGGATCTCTCACAGGTATCTCAGTCATAAGCCTACACACAGTTTGACCTTGCACCGCTCTCTCTCCTCTTTCCCACACTTCTGTCTCTCTCACCCTTGTGTGCCAGTGCATTATGTCAGTCCCCCCGATTCTCTGGTATGTTGATGGAATTCGGACTATTCTTCCAGGTCACAGTTGTTTAGAAGTCGTGAGGTGTGCCTTTAAATTCCCACACAGGGAGCATGATAAACACATTCATAATCACATCACAGGAATCACACAAAGCTGCCATCATAGTTGTCAGTTTGTCGGATATGCTGAACCACACACCAACTTCATCATGGCTGTTCAGCTCAACATAATGAGAGTTAATGCTGATAAATGAGAGAAGACAACCCTGTGTGGTGGGAGGTGTCCAGGAGAGGAAATGTTGAACATGCAGCTCTGAGTGAGGCCTGAAATACTGCTACACCAATGGACTGGACACTTCATTAGAAGTGACTAGGATTAGCTGAGCAGTTAAGATAAGGATGGGCCTAGTGAAAAGAGCAAAACGATGTAGGCACTGCAGTGACTCAGAGCAGCAGTGAGTATAGCTAATATACATATTATCCTTTTAACATGTGTTAGTATTTAACGATAATGTATGTAGAGCCTTATTTTCAATTTTGTTCATAGTATATAATATATATCTAACGTCCTTCAATATTTGAAACAGGATAATTGCTTTACATGTTTTTATTGTTGTAAAAAAGTTACATTTATGCACCAAATATGTATATATGACCTGGACTCAGATTTTTACACAGAAATGTGGAGAGAGATAAGGAGTAGGTGAAAACAGATATTTTCAGAGCACTTGGGCAATGCAGGATCACTTAAACATATATAAATCAGTCAAAATGCAACTTTGAGCAAGCTAAGGTGAAGGAACACCATTGTAGCATAGTTAAAAGCTAATCAGTTTGATCCTCCTTAAGTTATCCATGACAACAATGCATTCACAATAGAGCCCTGCAGGGTCTGGCTCCCATGTCAAAGTTTCTTGGTCTATTCATATTTTCCCCGTTTTCTGGTTGTACCTCTGGGTTCCTAGTGGGTCGTGTAAATATTAGTCTGAGCTTCCAATAACTCTGCACCTCCCACTGCTCCTATAGCCCGGATCAACAAGGAGCTGAGTAATAGAACTAATCCCGCCAGCAGCAGGGAGCGTGGAAATGATAAGAGATGTATGGGTGAGTTGACACTTTTGGCAGCTCAACTGTAGGGCAGATTTTAATCTGCCCGAGCAGGTGTTCCTTTGAATCAGATCTCCTGGTGGCTGGGAAAGTCTTGGACATGAGTAAGCTGTTAATGTTTAGAAGGTGTCAACAGGCTTCGGATCATAAGCCTACACTTTATCACCCATGACCTCACTCTGGGGGGGGATACACGTCAAAACCAAAATGACCAAAGCAGCAATCTTGCCGTCCTGTGAATAGAATTGTTTAGAACATCACTGTTTTTGAGACCACAGGTGGAGATGTCATCAATCAGGTTAATTCAGAATTCAAAGAGTTGCACTCTGAATTGGGTACTACAGATTTATCAGTCTGGTTAAAATCAATTGGGATAAGGCAAGATCTTTTCTTCCTTTTACACATTTTTCAAAAATAAAATGAAGGATATCTGTGGGTGTTAACATGTTTTGGTGTTTTGTTTCATTTGGGCGCTTTACATTTGGCTTCAGCTTAAACCAAAAATGCTGCACTGTGATTGGTTTGAAAGACTAGTGGCCTGGACCCAATCCCAACAGGAACCTGATCAGATAGATTCCTGTGAATTTGTGAAAACAAACATATAGTGAGAAGTCATAAAGCTGGCCAGTTTAGGAGAGAGCAAACGTTTTCTTAAATTTATGTTTTCAAGAATATGTGTACATTTTTTCTTCTGTTAAGGTGGTAGTAGTGTCCCTCTTTGTGGTAGAAACTGATAATGAAACAGTACAGTAATTTCATTAGCAACAACAGCTATGAAGATACTAAAAACTATGATTGCACACAAAACTTCTCTCTTCTTTTCTTAAGTAACATACAGAATTTAACATTAGTAACGTGTATTTAATAATAATAATGACATGTTAAACATTCCCATCTGACCCTTCTGCCCTTCGGTGAGCCCACCCAGTCACACCCACACACACCCACACCCACCCACTCACCCCCACACACATATACACCCACCCGCACACTTGTGTGACAACACAATGACAGGTGAGAGACAGGTGAGACACTGGGGGTCCCATCCTGGCCTGAAGCTACGCACCAGGGTCACTGTTTGTTGTGGACTTTTAGTGGGCACATTCTCAACAAATTTGGTTTAGGGCTGGTTTGTATAATGAAGATGAATGGTTAAGAACATTCCCACCAGCTCCTAATGCATTTCTCTGTTGAGTGGTTTTAAAATGGTGGTGTGGATCCCAGTGATGGTACACAGATCTTTCTAGTGCAGTACACCATGGACTATAACCTGATATTATAGCAACTATGAATCTTATTATTTCTACAGTTTAATTTCTTAAGTAGCCATTAACTTAAGAATAAAACAGACATTTGCTTCAAAAGAGTAGAAGCGTGTTTGCTTGAAAAATAGGGATTGCAGAGATAAAAAAAAAGTCTGGAACAATTTAAACTTTTTATCTATAAATGTAAATAGCTAAAACTGCGTATTGTTTAGACAACAATAATGCATGGTGAGATGCTGCCAATGGCCCTTTCCTATAAGCCAGATTTGTGTGGCTGAGGAGACTGAGGATTTGTAGGTGGTGTGTTGAAGGAATGTTCTGGCCCTGGCATCTGGGACACAGATAGAGAATGGCACTCACACAGTTTGCGCTGGACAGGTTTGATAATATTACCCCTGGGATCATCAAGCTTATCTTGCCTAACAATATAGGACTCCAGTAGCTATAAAAAGAATGTGTTGAGGGACTAAGAAGCCTTTTAAGTGAATTGGAAAGTAAAGAGCTTTATAAACTGTGATAACACTGAATTACATTAAAGAATTAAAAATGGATGCGATGGTGCAATAGAGATAGATGTATATCACTAGAACAACTTGGAACTTTTCACAAATGGAATTATATAACAAATACAAAACATCAGTATGCCTTTTTGCATCCCCCCCATTTTCCCATTGTTTTCTTGTCTGTCTCATCACGATCTGTTATTCTATATAAGTGAATATGGGCCATTAAATATATGGACTTGATATATCTCAGTTTCAATGCCTGTCAGTTGTCTTATTTTCTTAATGACACAAAGTTATTTGTCAGTGTCACTTTTTGTACTTTTCAATCATCAGTGGTTTAGTATAACAAAGCCTGAGCTGGTCTGATGTCTGGAAAGCAGTGGGGGTAGATTGCAGTAGTTTCTCTTTGATAAGCTCCAAGAAGCCTTTGATTAAACGCTGTCCCAGCAGGAGCCCACACAAGCCCCTCTGTGGCATGACCACATCCAATCAGCAGCTAACAACAGGACCAGGTAATTACAGCGCCCCGTCATTTAGGAGCACCCACCTGGAATTCCACGAACAGGGTGTGGGATGGTCCACTTTAGGACAGGGCCTTTAATCACACTCTCCTTCCTACGCACACAGAAGCCTTTGTTACACACCCACAAGTGGAATCAGAGAAATGTAGTATTTCTTCTGCAAGTAATAAATATTATACTATTGCTTTATCAATTCTTATATCGCCATACTAACATCACTCCCATATTTTCTTTTTGACAACTGTTTATATAAGCAATGTAGTCAACATTACACAAGCAAGCTGAGAGTAGTTGTCTGACTGAAGCTATGGTTACACAGCAAAGCCTTTTTCTATTAAGCTCTTGTTCAGAATACTGGTTGTGGTTCATTACAGGGATGCTCTCCTTAAGTCAGTCAAGGTAGTGCAGTTTCATACACAAATAGGATTGAAACATTTCACAATTTAAATAATTAATTCCACACAGCTTATCTCAGTTTTTACAGTCAATGTTTTAATGACACATTTGGTGTCACTTCCTGTCCTGGGTTCAGTCCTCTGTCTGTGTATTACTCAAGGGCAATACAAATCCATGCCCACTTCTCAAAGTGCACTAGTCGAGCCACTTCCAAAAGTCAAACTTGCATTCTTAGTGGAGTTTTTTTCCCCAAAAAGAAAGACATTCATGTCAGTATGCCATTGTAGTAATAATACTGGATATGTTAGAGGCTCAGTTAAAAAAAGTTAAAAAAAAAGTGTCTCATAAAGCTTTTGGTGAACGCAGTAAACCATTTTTTAATGTCACACTGGAACAAAACGCCAGTGCACCCATATCCCTCTCCTATTCAAAAACGGGGGTAATAGGTAATTAAAAAAGGACTTCTAGTGCTTCCTCAGAGACAGGTATTAAAGCCATGCAGTGACAAATGGACAAAAGAGGAGGGAAGGCAAAGCACTTGTTGGACAAAATTTCCCAGAATCCCATCTTCCCTTTAATGTTTTTATGAATTGTAGAAGGGGTGGGTATAGCAGTAAAGGGGGTGTGCCCTCAGGTCTGGTCCAGCCACTCAGCTCGCTTTGGCGCCTTGCACGTGTGTATGTCCACGGCCTTCTCACAGTCCTTGCACTCCACATTGCAGCACCATTTGAACTTGCACTCACACTTGATGATCTGCTTGACTCTGGTGGTGTCATAGCCCCGCCCACAGCACATGACCTCACATCCATCGGTGCCACGGGACGTTTTGTTGCAGACTCTGCCAGCTGTGCCCAGTGAACCTGTAGGAGGTGGGGAAAGAACACATTAAATATTGTAGCTAGAATATTTTTCTACATGATGCTGAGCTACAGTATATGGATAGATGAAAATGGCAATTTATGTCTGCTATATTACCTAAGTAAAAAACAAAACAAAAGAAATAATGAAAACCATTACCAATGTAACTTAAATCATTTCATTCCCAGTACCACAAGCAGAATGGCCACTTAAAGCCAGAGTGTCTGACTTTCAAACTGAGAACAAAGGAGAAGATATTTAAACTCTTACATACCTATCTACAAGCATTCATTTTCTTGGGCAGTTGCTCAGATTTAGAGCAGCCAAACATGACAAAAAGGAAAAACATCTTCCTTCTGAATTTGTGATTAATCAATGTTTGGACAAATACTGGTGAAAGTTTCATTAAAGCAGACTTATTATGCAAATTGGCTTTTCAGAGCTTTTGAGCTTTTCAGTTGTTTCCCCTTCTCACTTTAGTTTTATTTGGAGTTATTTGTGCATATTTGAGCAATTTTTAATTGCTTATTTTAAGATGCCATATGGCTGATCAATCCCTATTTTCTGTACTTACTTCATTTTTCAATATTATTAATCAGTGATATTTGTAGGATTTGGCAGCGCTGTGTAGTAATTTTGATATAAATGAAAAAAGGATCCGCAGCTCTCCACTCTACCACTATCCCTGCTATCCACCAGAGGTGCCAACACCTTCACAGCTCACTCTTTGTTGTGAAAATGTGCAAATTATATATAAGTTTCCACTTTTGTCATAGATTATAACTATTTAACAGGCTCAATAGTTACAATAAGTCTAATGCTGTCTAGCCCATTGTTCTGTCCTTTAAGCCCATCAGCTCTCAGTACTTTCTTGTAGTCTCTGACTTCTACCTATACTAAAATGGACTGAATTCAAACATAATTAGTTTTGTGTTTGAATGTCATGCCCACAGAGATTAGGCGCTGGTGTTGTGGTGCGAGAAGGGCCCTGTTTGAACTGCCAACTATCACAACATGCGGCCCATAGAACAACAGCACAACTATGTGCTGTTGGTAGAGCGGCCTATAGTTACACTGCCTTTCCCAAGCCACTGGTCTCTTTGAACCCCAGAGTGAGTGTGTGTGGGTTAAATGGACAGTGGAGCGTGACAGACAGACAGACTGGAGGCCCCATCTCTGCCCTCCAGCTACGCTTAGCTCAGACAGACACACTGTGACAGACATAGAGAGTTTCTTTTTCTTTTCTTTTTTTTTTCAAATTAGCCGCTTGTGTCTCCAGGCAGTAAATTCCACATTAAGTCAGAAAATCTTCCTACTAGTGTGCAATGATTGGCACATTGGCATAGCATTTAATGCTGAAGAATATCTTTATCATTTATCAAAGTGGAACTTGCTTTTCAGTTATTTCATTTAAGTGACATGTAGTATGATGCACTTTCTTTTTAAAGCACCAACAAAGATTGTATAGCACCACATGAAAGCACACGAACCTGTCTAAAATAAGAGATCTAACACCTTTGACCAGGTTGAGATTTTGACCCACGCTTTTGTCACCACAAGCCTGGATTACTGCAATACCCTTTATGTTGGCATAAGCCAGTCCTCACTAGCACGCTTGCAGCTTGTCCAAAACACAGCTGCTCATCTTTTAACTGGTTTATGGAAATACACCCGTGTCCCCAATCCTATCTGCCCTTCACTGGCTCCCTGTTCAATTCAGAGTGGATTTTAAAATACTTTTGTCTTTAAATGCCTAAATGGCCTTGCCCCCAGTATCTTGCTGACTTGCTGATGCCATCCTCTCCAGTGCACTCCCTCAGATCTGCTGACCAGACTCTGCTCTTGTTCCTCATTCCAGGAGGAAGCTTAGAGGAAACAGAGCATTTTCTTTTGTTGGGCCTAAATTATGGAATGAGTTGCCTATTGAGGTATATATATATATATAATTTTTTTTCACTGTATGATACAGATGTTTTTATCTTTGTGTACAGCACTTTGGTCAGCTTTGTTGTTTTTAGTACTGCTTTATAAATAAAATAAATTTGGATTTGGACCTGATTGAAGGTCATCAAATACTGGTAGTTACTGTCAATGCAGAAGTTTCACATCAACACAAATAAAGCTAATTTTGTTTTTATAATAACTATATGAAGCAGATAATGAGTGACTAACATGATTGTAGTCTTGGATATTGGGCTTGTGCAGTGTGGAGTGGCAGTGGACTGACAGAGGTCAGGTGGTTTCTCCTAGTGTGTCCCCAGGGCTCTACAACATAGCTTCCACACTTGACATGGAGCTGCTGTTATCTGACCACCCTTAACTCACACATAAACACAATAGTCACGCATGAACATACACACAACATCTACAGAACAGCAGAAACACACAACACTGTCAGGGTAATCCATCACTGCTGTGCACCCCCTCTTGGTGCCTCTACCTGCAGCTTTGTCTTGTAGACAGTAGTCTGGGGAGTTCTCAAAGTACACCAGGTCATTCTTGGTGGCCTTCCTGAAGGCTTTGTTGGCTTCAGCAAACCCCGTCCCATCCTGGTTCATGGTCACCTCAATGGCCCCATTGTACTTCCTCCTCAGATAGTCGCCCGTTTTCCTGAAGTCTGACATGGCCATCCAGCATGTCCGCAGTGTGCATGAGCCACTAACACCGTGACATTTGCACTCCAGCTTCATGAAACGCTTCACAGCCTGCAAAGAAATATACACATATCGTATATATCATGTCAGGACTGTGAAGCTTGAAGTATTTTAGAATGACACTACTTAATTATGATAAACGTGGGACTTTTGGATTTGACACCGAAACCAGACCAGTTGCTGTGTTTAACTTATTCTTCCAGCCCTCTCTACTTATGCAATCCTCACAGAATTATAGTATAATGAATCTAAGATATGCTTCAGTTCACTTTGAATTTGTGTGAATCCACACATCTTTCTGGGTGTCACGCCTGAGGTTTAATTATGTTGATCAGAATGTGACCCACCTAAGGCCTAATGTAGCAGGTAACTATCTGCATAGTCCTTTTATGATGCATGTTTGAAATGAGGGAGATATCGCTTACGGTTCTGCCACAGCGGTTGTTGTGCAAGTTCATGACTGCTCGTGCATCTCGGACCGTCCTCTCTTTAGCGTCAATAAAAGCTTTGGCGAATTTAATTCCATAGTTAATATTGTCACTGCAGCCTCCCCAGTCGAACTCGCCCCGGTCGTCACTGGATCGTCCGCGTTTGTGTGGATCACAGTTACACGTCTTGAGCTCCCCCTGGCTACAGGCTCGTGTAAGTGCATAGACCACTCCTGCCGAGGAGATTGCGTAGACAAACGCTGCTTCACGACTGCCTGTAAAGTAAAAATTAACAACTCTTTTATTGATTACTTTACATATTTCTTTTCAGTCTTGAGGTGCACAGCAACAGAAAACATTCACTACAACAATCCATATTATCACAAAGGAATTTGGCTTTGTTGATAAGTACTTCTGTTACTGCTGGATGCATCTTCAACCACCAGAGAACATCTACACTAACATATTCACAAAGTTCACTGTTCACTGCCAAAGGATGGCAATTCACGGTTCCTGTAAGAAAAGTCAAAAACAAAAGAGGGAAAACTTGGTAACAAACACAACCCAATTCCAACAAAATATTCCTCCTGATAAAGAATTAGAGAATATATTAGAGAGACACATGTATAAAGATGGACTAAGATGTATATGTGTAATAGCATGACTGTACCTGGGTGTGTGCTACCAAAGGTGCAGCTGATGTGTTCATATCAGGCCTGAGGTGGACTATCGGACAGCTCTGTTCAAATATTATTATAGAAATAATCCTTGCAGCGGGGCTCCCCTCCTCTCACATAAATTGTTTAACTACAGACACAGTGATACCCCATAAATCAGTGCTGGTGATGTCATGACAGCATTATCTACCAATGCTGTGCTATTCTGTTCTCTTTTGGGATCAGTTCAGTCTCCTTGACAACTTCCTATTATTGGCTTTGTTTACATGTACACCAAAAATCTTATTATTATCAGATATTTGGACCTTTAACATTGTTTAAATGACATGCAAACCACAACATCTGATATGAGTA